GCGATATACCCTACCATTCAGGATCTACGATCTGTTGCCCGGTGTCCTTCAATGAACGGGAGAGAAATATAAGAGATCAGGCTGTGTTCCAAACACGTCATGGCCTCAAAATTACACGTGCCCGTGAAATAGGGCAAAACTGCACAAAATTGTCCATAGGCGACACTTTAAAAGGTTTTACAGGTCACCAATTTAGAGGTAAAGGACGGCCCAAGAATTATTGCTCACACTCTGACAGTGCGCAGCAATACCAAACATCAATGGCACAGTCACTGTTTTCATATGTAGCTGCACCTGATGCACGTTTGTGCTTGTATGTGGGGGCTTTACAAAATTATTTTAATTTTTTTTTTTTAGCATGACTTTATTGCTATAAGAAATGTTCGCTGATCTCCTTCCCCATCCAACACCCACCCACAGGAGGGGCAGCGGAGCCCGGGATACATGGTAGGAGGTGGCTTGTTGGAGGAAACTGGAAGCGATATGCTGCATGAATAGGGAACATGAACATAATGACATTTGACTGCAAAAGCGGAAATACAGTTTCAAGTACTAAAATAAAGCCAAAAGGTTATTATGCCATTTCAAATGCGGATTAAATCACAGTGGATGTTGGTCTGTTTTTATCTTGACATTACTTGACCTCCTCTCTTTGGCATGTCCAACAAAACTGATTTCTCCAAACAGTTGAACAAGTTGACAACTGAAAAATGCCGAACACGATTTTTTTGATATGCAAAAAGAATAACGTGATGCCTTCTTAATTACACTGCCTAGCCACAAAAGTCACACTAATATTTTGATGGACCACCTTTAGCTTTGATTATGGCATACACTCGCCGTGGCACCGTTTCGATAAGCTTATGCAGTCACAACATTTATTTCTGTCCACAGTTGCATTTTTCACTAAGATCTTGTAGTGATGATGGGAGAGAAGGACCACTGCGTAAAGTCTTCTCCAGCACATACCAACGATTCTCAATAGGGTTAAGGTCTGGACTCTGTGGTGGCCAATCCATGTGTGAAAAATGATTGCTCATGCTCCCCATGAACCATTCTTTCACAATCATAGCCCAATTAAATGAATTGTCATCTTGGAATATGCCTGTGCCATGAGGGAAGAAAAAAATCCATTGATGGAAAAACCTGGTCATTCAGTATATTCAGATAGGCAGCTGACCTCATTTTTAGGGGACATACCTTTGCTGAACCATGACAAATTATTCTTCAGTGGAAGGCTCTGACCTAAATGCTTAGCTAAATCAAGGTGGTGACCTTTCTCTCCCGTTCATTGAAGGACACAGGCAACAGATCGTAGATCCTGAATGGTAGGTAATATCGCCACCTGCAGGAGAAGGACGCTAGGCACAAAACTAAAGACTAATTACAGCCTAGGGGCGGCCCCTGCCGGTGGCCAAACCCCCCATCTGCTGACAAGTCTCCAGTTTTTTGCCTAGCGTCAGGAGTAAGGAGCTAAAATTTTTTCTCTGCAGAATTTTTTTCCTTTCTTCCGTTTGACTGGATCTTCTAGCAAGTGTCCCCAGGGCGACAGGCTGGATGACTGTAGATCCTTGTAGTCTCCCCTGGGTGACCGACGAGCGCATGCACTGCGGGGGAAGTCTTTTCTTCCGGTGGATTGGACGGTGGTCACCACGGACTCCAGCCTTTGGGGCTGGGGCGGGGTCTTGGGCTCCTTGACCGTGCAGGGTCGTTGGTCGCCGGGAGAGTCCCGTCTGTCGCTTAAATGTGTTGGAACTTCGGCGTTTCGCCTCTCTCTCCCTCATTGGTCGTCCCGGCTCCAGGGTCTGGCAGTTCGAGCCCAGTCGGACACCGCCACTGCGGTGGCGTACGTCAACCACCAGGGCGGCACAAAGAGTGTGGCCGCGGGTCGAGAGGTGTTCGGGAATTCTGTCCTGGGCGGAACATCGAGTTCTGGCTCTCTCGGCGGTCTACATCCCGGGAGTGGACAATTGGCAGGCCAATTACCTCAGTGGACAGTGGGTGGATCCGGGGGAGTGGTCTCTGCACCCGAGGTTTTTTTTAGCAGCTCTGTCGTCGCTGGGGGACGACAGGGGGTGGATCTTCTGGCGTCCCCGTTCAACCGCAAGGTGGACAGGTTTGTGGCCTGGGCCCTGGGCGGAGCCCGTGGATGACCTGGTGGCCCCTTGGGGTCATTACGGTCTAATTTACGCCTTTTTTTCCTCCACTGTATCTGTTGCCTCGGCTGCTGCGTCGGATCGCGGTCGAGGGCGTCACTGTCGTCCTCGTGGCCCCGGATTGGCCTCGGGGGGCGTGGTACGCGGACGAGGTTCAGCTGGTGGTGGACGCCCGTGGCGTCTGCCTCTGCGCCCCGATCTTCTGTCCCTGGGTCCTGTGTTCCATCCTTCTTTACAGTCGCTGGCTTTGACGGCGTGGCTACTGAGAGCCGGGTCCTGAAGGACCGGGGGTTGTCCGATGCGGTCATTTCCACTATGCTCGGAGCACGCACTGGTGTGAGGCTGGGGCCCTGTCCCCGCGTTTCTTCTCCATCAGCGGGATCCTTGCGTTCCTGCAGCGCGGGGTGGCTCAGGGTCTGGCCTTGAGTACTGTGAAGGGCCGAATCTCGGCCTTGGCGGTGCTTTTCCAGCGGCCTTTGGCGTCTAATGCTTTGGTTCGCACCTTTGTTCAGGGGGTGACACGCATTGCTCCCCCTGTCCGCGCGCCTTTGGTTCCGTGGGATTTGAATCTTGTGCTTTCGGTGTTGCAGGAATCCCCGTTTGAGCCTCTTCGGGAGATTCCGCTTATATCTTTGTCACAGAAAGTGGCCTTTTTGGTGGCCATCACTTCCGTTCGGCGGGTGTCGGAGTTGGCTGCCTTGTCCTGCAAGTCCCCAATGCTGGTTTTGCATCGGGACGAGGCGGCTCTCCGTCCTCGGTGGGCGTTCCTACCGAAGGTTGTGTCGGCATTACATCTGAATGAGGACTTTGTCTTACCTTCCCTGTGTCCAAAGCCGGTTCATAGGAAGGAGCGTGCGCTCCACTGTTTGAATGTGGTTCGCGCTCTTTGTGTTTATTTGGAAGCTACGGCTTCTTTCCGCGGGACCGACTCCCTGTTCATGCTCACGGAGGGTCCTCGTAAGGGTCGGGCCGCGTCGGCGGCTACCGTTTCTGGGTGGATACGTACTGTTGTGACTCAGGCATACGCCGTTAAGGGGCGTGAGCCTCCATTTCCTGTCACTGCCCATTCTTCTAGGGCTGTTGGGGCTTCCTGGGCTTTCCGCCACGGGGCCTCTGTTTCTCAGGTTTGTAAGGCCGCTACTTGGTCTTCTGTTCACACCTTTTGTTGAGTTCTACAAGGTGGACGTGTAAGCATCAGCGGATGCTGGTTTGGGGCGCAAAGTGTTGCAGGCGGCGCTTGAGGGGTCTTTTGGGTGTTTTGTTTGTTGTTGCCCATCCCTCAGTGTGTTACTGCTTGGTGACGTCCCTACCATTCAGGATCTACGATCTGTTGCCTGTGTCCTTCAATGAACGGGAGAGAAAATAGGATTTTTGTACTCACCGTAAAATCCTTTTCTCTCCGTTCATTGAAGGACACAGGCCCCACCCTCTTTATGGGGTGTACACTCCTAACTGCTTGTTACTAAACTGGAGACTTGTCAGCAGGTGGGGGGTTTGGCCACCGGCAGGGGCCGCCCCTAGGCTGTAATTGGTCTTTAGTTTTGTGCCTAGCGTCCTTCTCCTGCAGGTGGCGATATTACCTACCATTCAGGATCTACGATCTGTTGCCTGTGTCCTTCAATGAACGGAGAGAAAAGGATTTTACGGTGAGTACAAAAATCCTATTTTTTCTTGGCCAGGCAGTGTATTTAGCAATGCCACTACTGTTTAAAATACATTTCCAATGGGGGATATTTTTCAGCCTGAGAAATGTTTTGGGGTACTTCTGGAGCTTTCAGTAAGTACATACAGGTGAAACTCGAATAATTAGAATATTGTGCAAAGTTCATTTATTTCACTAATGCAACTTAAAAGGTGAAACTAATATATGAGATAGACTCATTACATGCAAAGCAAGATAGTTCAAGCCGTGATTTGTCATAATTGTGATGATTATGGCTTACAGCTCATGAAAACCCCAAATCCACAACCTCAAAAAAGTAGATTATTACATGCAATCAATAAAACAAGGATTGTACATAGAACAATATCGGACCTCTGAAAAGTACAAGCATGCATATGTACTCAGTACTTGGTTTGGGCCCCTTTTGCAGCACTTACTGCAATTACTTTTGCACGATATTCTAATTATTCGAGTTTCACCTGTAGATTAACTTGCATCTGCAGGCATTATGCAGGTTTACCCCTAAACTCCTCTAGATCATGTCCCATCATAATTTGTTTTTACCGTGCTTCTGTAGTGAGAAACAGCTTTTTATTATTCTTTGTGATTTCATACCAGGTTTGTAAACAGGCCCGTTCCTATAAACATGGGCAAATCCACATCTTCAAATGGTCCTTTCCCTTTGCTCAATATATGTGTGTGTGCTATTGGTGTTAATGCAGCCTGGAAAATAAAACAATGTAAGCAAAAGAACTGTCTTGTCAGCCCAAACAAGGTTAGCAGCTTTCTGGAAGATCAACCACTATTTTCTATACTTGCAGAAAGGAATAACACCTAGGGAAATGTGCATGTACTAGAGATGTACTGATTTATTCATTTTTTAATAGTACCTTGCTACTGCAACTCAGAAATTAGGCATTGTTGGTCTTTGTTATTCTGTGGTAGTGCCACAAAATACTAGAAGGCATAGACCAATTTATGTATCACCAGACAACTGACAGAAACATCTTATTTAAAACCTCACTGCGTTGATTCTGACCATAGGTTGTCTGAAGATATAATGTAAGCTTAAAGCTCCATGGAGTTATACCAAATATAGCTTACCATTACAGTACTGGTAGAAAACAATACAAAATCAGTACATGTATACAAAATTTATTATAAAGTTACAATTTACACACAACAATCACAGAAAGGGTCAGATACTGACCAGGCCCCCAGAGCAAAGAATAGAGGGCCTTGAAAAACCATAGCTTTGTATGGGATCATTTAGAAAAGTGAGAATTTTGTTGCATCAGCCAGTTAATCGTATCCAGAAGGTGCTGCATTTGGTAATGCTGAGCAATATTCCGAAAAGCATCCACCTGTTCCTTGAGAATCTGAAATAGAAAAAAAAAAAAAGTATTGTCAGATACATAATGCAATACAATAAACACTATTTATGCACTGATGAACTTACCTTGATTGAAATTGTGAGGCTAAAGTCGCCAGCACAGCTGCAGTACACAGGCATGTTCGCTTCTTTCACTCCTTTACATTTTAAACATACCTGGGAAAGATGATGGGTAGTTAAAATTATGTAATGGATTCAAAGATAAAAACTAAAGAATTTATTGTTATTCGCCAAAGTAATTCTTCTCAGCACTTCACTTTTGCAACACTATACAGACAGCCAAGTGATATAAAGGCAAAGTTTGCATCACTGCCCTAGCCTGCTCACTGGAATATGGGTTTTCATGACCACACAGATGAAGCCTCCTTCTCCTGCCGTAAGGATCCCTTTTCTCAGAAAACGATGAAGGCTACTTCTGCTACATTTAATTTTGAAAAACAGAATTATTGGACTTGCCATACAATCCATTTCTTGCAATTCATTGAGGAACACAAATTAAACGACTTTTTTCGGTTATACTGCCAACAGAAGGATTTGGACAGAGGCAAATAAAACAGTGCCAGCCTGGTATAACCCCTCCTACTTCCAGCTTGCCTTCCTTAGGTAGGACCTGTGTTCCTTAATGAAGTACAAGAAATGGGTTTTACAGTAAGTTTAAGAATACCATTTTCTTTAACACTCATTAAGGGACACATGAATTCATTGATTGTTGGGGCATCTAAAAGCAGTTCAACTGAGGGGTGACAACCAAACACTAACAAGCCCACAAAGGAACAACATAACTAGGGGCTGCCTACAGCTCAAAGCACTGCCTGAAGGACCTTGAGCTAAAAGTTGGCATCAGAAGATGTCTGAACATTCACCTGGTAGAACTTGTTGTGGAGCAGGTTGGGAAACCTCTCCTTGGGACAGAAGTTCCTCTCGATCTGGAATAGCTCATGAAGCATCTGCTAGGAGTGATCAGGTCTGAGTACTACATCTGTCTAGGCCAGTCTGGAGCTATAAAGATCACCAGAATGCCCTTCATCTTGACCCTGTGTGCAGACTAGGATTTTCAGTGAAGGAAAGGGGTAGATCAATGAGTACTAATCCCACAGAGCCACCAGAGAGCATCACCTGCTTATACCAGAGAAACTCTGAACCTGGAGACAAACCAATCTAGTTTGGCCAAGAGGTTCACATTTGGTGTTTTCCAATTGTGACACAGGTGCTAGAACACTTCAGGGTGAAGGGGCCATTCTTCCAGATCCAGTCACTGACAGCTGAGGTAGTCTTCCTGCCAATTCTCAATGCCTGGTATGCAAATTGTGGACAAGGCTAGAATATGTAGTTCTGCCCAGGACAGAAACTTTTCTGTCTCTCTTGCCATGGCAAGACTTCTAGTCCTCCCTGATGGATGATTTATGCCACTGCTGTGAAGTTGTCTGGCAGAATCCTGATTAGATGACGACCCCCTCCCCCCCCCTCCAGTTGTGACCAGCATATCGCCAGAAGCTCCAGAATGTTGATCGGCAAACAAGATTCTTCCAAAAACCAAGTCCCCTGCACGACAGAGTGTCCAAGACTCCATCCCAGCCTGACAGGCTGGGATTCATTATTAGGATCCTCCAAGAGATCAGACGAAAGTTTTTCCCCAACTTCAGGGTAGAATTCCTGAGCCACCACCATGCCATGGACAACCTTTTCTTTAGTGACTGAATTGTCCCACAAAGACAATGTTTTGTTGAAGGAATCTGAAATGGAATAAAGCAGTTGCTTTTGACCAGGAGGAGGCCATCATCAGCCCCAGAACTCTCATGCAGAAGTAAGGAGCTGGGCGACTTTTGAATTGAAGTATGAAAGTCTGGGGGTGGAGAGTTTGAACCATCCAGACCCTGAGGAAGAAAAACTTTGGTTTGAGCTGTTTTTAGAGGAAAACCCAGATTCTCTAAACGATTAGTTAGTTCCAGAGCTGACATCTAAAAGGAACCAGTCAAACTTCCTCAAATCTGGATAATTCGGGTTACCTGGTCGATCAGAAGCTGTGCTGCGCTCTGAGAGCACATCAAGGCTAGCACAGGGGCAAGAATTTTGGTGAACACGAAGCGCTGAAGAAAGGCCAAATGGCAGAGCAACAAACTTGAAGTGTTGGATTCCCACAGTCAAGAGAAGAAAATGGTGATGTGCTGGAAAAATGGGGACATGCAAGTATGCATCCTTGATGTTCACAGAGGCCAGAAACAGACCTGCTTGATTCCATGCAGAATTTCTGGTCCCGAATGACAACATGTAGGGCCTTTAGATCTAAGATGGGGTGGCGATCCTCTTAGTTTGGGAACAGTGAACAGACTGGAGTAAACACTTGTTAGATCTGCTAACCTGTGCGGTAACACAGGCAGATTGGAAGTCATGAACCAAGGAGAGGGCCCAAGAGCAGAATCATAGTTTGTAGCCCTTGGAAATTATTGGAGATGCTGGCTGCCCAGATACCCGCAAAGCTAACAGACATCCTACGAAATTCAAAAGTTGGGGCAACCCTTCAAGCCGAAGCAGGGGGGAACAAAATTGAAGCAGGAATTTTAAATGTGGCTCAGTGGTCCTCCTAACAAGATAGCCCTCGATGCTCGGCTTGTATGACCTACTCACAAAGTGAGCCTTTAGAGACAGAATCACACCTGAGGCTGTGTCGCAGCACTGGACCTGGAAAGTGCTCTGCAGCTAACAGTGCAAAGCACCCACCAATGCAGAGCCCGGTGCCTCAAGGTCACATTCCAGACTAGCCTGGCAATTGTCCAGTCCATCGGGGTCTGGAAGCAGCCTTAAAAGCTATTGATGCAGATACACCAACCCCGAAAGCTATGTATAGAGACCAGCTCAAGCAGCTTATAGGAAATCTTGATTGAAGAAAAAAAAGGAATCTTCACTAAACAAAAGCTAGCATAAAAGGGTAGGTTTTCTCCGCAGAAAAAAAGGCATCCATCATCCGAGGACACTGGCAAAAAAAAACCTAAGGAATGCTGGGAGTAGGTGGGTTATTCTGGGATAGCACTTCTTTATGCAATTGTCCTCCTAGGTGGAAGTATAACTCAGCAGTCATTAAAAGTCCCGTGTCCCCCAATGAACACTAAAGAAATTCTTGTTACCTGGATGTCATGCTGACCCTAAGGATTTCATTTTGATTTGCTGACCCAGAAAATGTATGCAGATAAGCATCTCTGAATTTTCTGACCTGCAAACTTGCTCTAAGTCAGTGACTCAAAATATTTAAGCCAAGACCAAGATAACAACCAGATATCTAGCAATTTTAAAAGGAAGTCAGCAATGGCAACTTAATATTTGTCTCAAGAAAAACTCACCCTTCTAGGTGCTTTAGACAAATACAATACACCATCAGATTATCATTTACATATATCTGAGCCTACATTTGCAGCTTTTCTTTAACTATGAAGTCATTCTATTAAATATGTGCCTCCTAAACATGGACACAATATTCTACTGCTGATAAAAGCGCAGACACACAAAAAGGATGACCAGTAGTGTTCCTAACTTCTTACTCCTCGTCATCCCTGCTACCAATCTTATTCATTCCTACTACCGCCTCACAAACCACTGTCTTCCTTGCTATAAACCCTTTGGCTAAGTAAAGACCATTGTGGTGCATTACTACATGCATTTTTACAGTGGAGGTAATGGTTAAGTGTATGATTATAATTATTAAAAGCAAAACTTGGCCAAGCATTTTATCCAGCTGATGTGGAATGAGTCTCGGAATTGCTTTAGCACTGTAGAACCCATGCATCTAAAGAATCAGTATGTGCCTTTGTTTAACTACTTCTGTTGTACTCTTGTACTGTATAAAGAACCAGCGTGTACCTGGGTTTTAATTACATTTGTTGTACTATACAAGTTAAATGCTTCTACGCCACATTGGCTAATTTAGCGTGGTGTGGAACGGGCACTTTTGTGATGATCCACTGTAGTGCTACTTTCACTACCCCTAGTGTCTTAAGAGAATGTGGCATGACTAATAGAGAGGTGGGTGCAGCCTACTGGGCCCATACTACAGCTATCTTTAGTATGTAATAAAAATGTAGTATAATACGTAAATAACACAGCCATGCCATAAACTGCTAGTTGATAGGCCAATGAATTTTCGCATGTACTTACCTCTAGTTTTGGGTCTGTAAAAATATTAAAGCAATGTTTCACAGCCAGGAATGACACTGGCTAGCAAGTAAAATAAATTAAACCTCATATAATGTAATTGGCCATGGATGTTATTTACATATTACATTGCATCTAAGATATTTATTACTATTTGATCTTAAAGGAGAACATTGATAAGAATTGGTGACAATGATGAACCAAACAAATGGGCAAGTGTACAACTTACCAAATCCTGCAGCATAAAAGCCATCATCTTCTTCTGCAGAGCTTCCACCAGTGACATCTCAATGTTGTCAGTGTCATACTCAGCCTGGCAGTTTGAACAGATCCACTGTGGCAGCACAGACCCATCCTATGTTTGAGAAGAATGGTAATAATAGTTAAAGGTTTATAGGCAGTGCAATATATAGAAAACCAAACATATATCCAAACTTTGAACAAACCTGACTGAGTAAAGGATCTTTGCACAAGTCAAGGTCACGGCAGAAATTACAGTTTCGGCAAATGATCTCAGGAAGGATGTAAGAGCGACAGGGATCTCTAAACTGTGCATCCTCTGAGAACTCCCCCACGTCAATTAACCGCAAGAGATCTCTCTTCAGCTTGTTGACCTGGTTGGTTACATTGGAATCCAAAGAAAGGACCTGCAGAAATCACAAACAGAATCCAGTAATTCTATAGCTAAACTATTACATAGTTTAATTGTCGTATGCCTGGTAATTTAAGCACTAATGATTTTGTATCATACACATAAATGACCATGGAACAAAACATGTAAGGATGTGCAGAAACTATAAACACAAATCAAATGCATGCAAAAAGTTTGATCTGAATTTTTTCCCTGTAACTTCATCCCAGATTCCCTTTCTTTCTGTTGTCGTAGATAAGCGCAGAACACACCTCTTAACCACATGGCGTAACAATCTACTGCAGATATGTTAACAATATACCCATATTATACAATTTCCTCACCTCACAAACATATTTTATAAACTCCAGTGCAGGATTGTTCAGGAGCAAATGGGAACCAGGTAAGACGGGGAACATTTCAGAGGGCTCAGTGACATTGCGAGTCCCTGTAACTTTTTTCTGTATCTTTTGTGTGATTGTGAAGAAGTTTTGTGTCAGCTCATTTGCTACATAGTCCTGTGAAAAAGTGATTAGACCTGTAAAAGACAGATGGGTGTTAATTGACAAACAATAGTATTTACAGTAAAATTAATTCAACTGAGTAGAGATTAGACTACAATTTCATGTGTAGAAATAATAAACCTTATAGAAGGGGTTGTTTGGTGAAATAAACCAAATTTCACTTCTAAAAACCATAAACAGCACGACAGGCTGACTTCTGATAATAGGATCTTCCAGAAGTTGGAAAAAGAAGACTTCTCCAATTTCAGGACTGGAAGACTGTTTCACCAGAACAGGAAAACTTGACCTTCCCGTTAGAAACGCCAACTAGTCCCACGACAACAGAGTGCAGAGACAGTCTAGAATGGAATTGGAGAAAAAAAGGTCTGCCTTGAAGAGTGTTACCCCAAGACCCAGGATCCTCATGCAATAGCTAAAAGACAGGCAATTTTGGGATGAAGGAGAAGGGTATGATTTTCTTATGGAAGAAGAGGATTCCAGTGATGATTTCTGAGGACTGACCGTTTGCTTCACAGGAGGTCACCCAAGTATCCCACAAATGGGAATGCTATAAGAATGCACCAGGGCTAAGCACGGGGCCAGAACCCTGGAAAAAGCTGGGGTGCAAGAGTGAGACTAAGAAGTCAAAATGCTGGATGGACGGGGACCTGTAATCATGCCCCCTGCAAGCAGGAGCAGCAGCAGAGGGAAAGAAATGGTAGAGTGTACGACACTCCACCCAATGTATGGTGTCAGCGCTCAATGCCAAAGCATTAACCCCTTCTGCTGTGAAAACTTACAGGAAACTTAAGTCGCCCAGCATTCTATGCAAATTAGGTGGCCCTTAGTGGTTAGTCCAATTGGCATAATCACAGGGTGAGTCTTCAGAGACAGGACAAGCGCTGAGGCAATGCCAGCAGCTCGGGACCGGAAAAGTGCTCCACATCTAACCTGTTATCAGAATAGGGACTATAAAAGCGCCTTACACCGAAATCCAGCGCGGTCTGGTCACGGCACACCAAAAGCTAGGCTGAGGAGGGCTGCGCTGGATAGCAGCAATTATAGAGACCAGCTCTAGCAGCTATGTAGAGAAGAGTCTTGACTGATGAAAAAAACAAGAAAATGGAGGCAAGCTGGGAGGGGTTATCCTGGGTTAGCCAGTGTCTAATCATCCTCTAGGCAGCAGTATAACCCAAAAGGTAATAGAAATTTACTTTATGGGAGATGAAGAGTTAAAGTGGAACTCAAGGAAAAAAATGCTAGTTTCATTCATGCCCGATACGGTCAGCCATGAGCTTTGGGCACTGAGAATGACAGTTCTGGTTAGTGTACAGTAAAGGATCATGTTGTTTACACTCCCTGTCCTGTCACTTTATCCATTCACAAAAAGCCTTGTGTTCTTTTTACTGAATACAAGGCACGCTGTGAATGGACAAGGGGAGATCCTGTAGTTTTTACCCCTCACCCCCTTTACCCTTCTCTCAGTCATTCACAGAATGCCTTGTATTCAGTAAAAAAAATACAAGGATTTTTGTAAATAAATGGGAGTGCAAATCACAAGATCCTTTACTGTACACTAGCCAGAACTGTCAGTCTCAGCGCTTGAAGCTTATAGTAGTATCCTGCATGAATAAAAATGGCATTTAAGCATTCTCTGTTGTCATCCAGACCTAGAATAGAAACACTACAGATACAATTTGCTTGGTCCACAGAAGTTAACAAAGCACTTCCTGAAGTTCCACTTTAAGCCATCTTACAGTTTATTTGATATTTCCCAGTCTCACACTGGCATGATCTCTGTGCTCGAGTTCCCCATGACTAGAGACAGGACAATGCAACCATTTGCATTAGTATGCTCTCACCTGGCATGGCCCCAGTTTCCCGTACTGCCTCTTGAGACACTTGGCTATTTTGCCTGCGCTTGATTGGAGTAGTACCGGGAGCATTTCGTCTCATCTCCTCCCGCATGCTATGGTAGACAGCCACAATGTAAGCTGCAATAAAACAATCCATGTTATAGCACACTAGCTGTGGAGCATTCAGACAGGTCTCTTGAGCATGAGTACGAACCGATTCGTACTCATGTATAGATAGGCACTTCTAGACTATATATAAAAGAAAACCCATTCACCTGAAATGATCATCAGGAAATAACTCTGACATGAGGCTGCCTGAGGCAGATATTGCACAATATTCCAGCTGTTTTCCAAGCATTCCTCAACCTGGTCCTCTGACTGTTCATTATCCGAATGGCCATCTGCTGCTTCTTCTTCCTCCTCATCCTCCTCACTGCCTTCCTCTTCATTATCCTGAGATTTCTTCTTCTCACTCTGAATTGGCAAAACCAGATCCAGCATCATAACACATTCAAAGCAATTTGACCTCATTATGACTCTACCAGAACCATTTTCTTGGACTGACCTCTCCATAGTGCACACTAGAAGGAAGTTTGCCTTTAATACCACCATAATTAGCAGGGTCCATCCACAGAAGAAACTCCCAACAGCGTGAAAATGAGATGGTGAGGGAATGAAAGATCTCCTTGGAGTGAATGCTGCAACAGAAAGAGTTGCATAACTCAAGCTACCGGACATCAAGATCACGAAATGACAAAATCGAGCCATAAATATTACCTTTGAGTAATATATTCAACATAGGCTACAGCATCTTCTACCCGGCGTTTCTTTGTGCACAGGATAATGCGGTTGAAGTTGGCATAAATCACAGAGGAGCCTAGACGTTTAAATTCGGCAACCAACCTTCAAGAAATGACAAAAACAAAAAAGCTGGTTACTCCTACTGTAGTCTTCTCAAAAAATGAACATTCATGAAACTCAGAGGCTGTAATAAGGGTAATGTTTGCATTTCACAAGCATACTCAAGTTTTAGGATCATCTTACAATATAACAAACAGGCACGTTGTTGTCAATGTGTAAAAATGTCAGCCTCACTCGGGGCTTAAAATAGTTCTATTTACACTTCCATAAAACTGGCCATTGCGCCTAACTTAAGAGCCCATTGTAATGGAGCTAATAAACATGGACATTTCTATAGGGACGGATTCTTTTCCAGGACTGTCGCAGTAATCTGAACACATGGATTTTTTTTTAAAGGTGTGTGTTACTAAAATGTTATTGTGAGTTTTACATATATTTCTGAAATAAATATGCAAAGTGCACTAAATTACTCAAGATCAGATTATGTTCATTGATAGATGCCCACAGATCAGATTTCCCAAGAGTCCTGTACTCTGTGCCAAAGTCCTAATAAGAGATACTAGTGTTTCCGGAATCTTGGCTGTTGGACAACCAATATGTTCAAAATGCGAAACAGGAACCAGAGTATAAATGCACCAATTATAAACAATGTCCTTGAACCGGCTACAAAAAAAATTGTTATTTTAATGACATTGTCTCCCTGGAATGAGGTGAACAGAAATACAAACTAAAGCTTGCCATGCACACATTTGAATTTTTGAAGAATAAGCTGAGATAGAAGCTGTGGGTGGCCCCGTCAGGACCACCTGGCTCCACAAAAGTAGACTGGAAAAATCAAAAGAAGCGGGGTGAAAAATTGTTGGATAAACAGTTACTGCATCCAGTTAAATGCAGTCACTATTCAAGTACACAGCCACAGGTGTTGTCGGTCTGAATACAATAGCCAGCAGGAGAGATACCTCCATCGTCACCGTTTAGTGTACATGGAGGAACCAAGTGATGGGCTGAACAAGAGAAATCTAATCATGGTTAGCTTTAGCCTACAGAAAACATTTCAGGATATCACATTTAAATGCAATTTAGCAATTCTAAACAAAGGTAGGAATCATCTTGGTGCTACACCGTTTTTGGTGGCTCTAAGAATCCAAAAACGTGCCTTTAACTTTGTTGAACAACACTTTCTTGATTAATGGTTCCACAAGTTAAAGCTCAGTTTCAGCTTCTTTCAGAAACAAAGTGCTTTAGCAAACGAAATGTTATTTACTTATGTGTTTACATGCGCTTTAATCCATGCCCCATTTAAAAAGTACTATGGTATAAAATTTGCATACTGTAGGAACAATTTCTTCATCATGTTGTGGAGAGTTCGGTGAAGAGCCGGGTCATAAAGAAGTGAGGATGGAGTTCGCAGCCATCGGTAAAAGTGCATAACTTGATTGTCTGCATAGACATTGTGGTACTGAGTAATCTCCTTCACCCAACCCACCACCATGCTCTTCAAAATCCTAGAGGGGGAAAAAAGAAAACAAAATAACTAAAATGTGATGAAGTCTTCACATGGCTACAAGAGTTACAAAGTATTTGGTCTTTTCCTGCTTCATCAGTCACTGTGCTCTTGAAAAGAAATGCAGCAAAAATAAAGCACCCTTCTGCAAATCTACACATTAACTATACTGACATTTCCCTGAAATTTCAATAACCTTGTACCTGAAGGTGTTCGAGCAAAGAGCTGTCTCATCATAACTAGCAACAGCAGTGGCTGGGTTCCCAGTAACCATATCTTCGAGAGATGCCTGCTGCAACACATCAAAGCTGATGCCTATACTGCCAGCTCCTTCCAGGTCATTAATGTGATGTGACTGCAAGATACTGTTTACAGCCAGGCTCTGAATATCCAGCTCCACACAAACTGCAGCAATGACAAAAATATTACAGTGCAAGTTATAAAACACATATGCATTTATTAGCGCTCAAACAATAAAAGAGTGGTTATGGGTACTAGATGGTACTGTAATGTATATTAAATATGTACCAGTATTGTAGCACCCCGAGTTGTTGATTTCCACACATGCCCTCTCATCGAACTCCATAACTAGCCGGTTGTCATCTGCCTCTTTGCCCCCAAGGTCAGGTCGGGAGCCTGGGGAAAGCCACAGGAGGTGATTGTGACGTTTAAGATGCCTTGCAAAGAACAGGTCTGAGCCAAATGTAGACACATCGTCAGGCAAGTTACCCACAGGAAGATGGTAATATCTGTGATTTGTGGGAGGAAAAACAAAAAATAGCTACCCATATTCTAAAGTATAAATAGGACTACAAGTAAAAACAAGCCAAGGTATGTAAAAAAACAAAACAAACATTTGCACTTACTGTATAATCATTTTCTTGGATTACATTGAAGGACACAGGAATTCAGAAATTGTCAGGTTACACTGCTACCTTCAGGAGGATGGAACACTGGCAAACAGTAAAGTTATAAGATAGCCGCCATATAACCCCTTCTGTTCCCAGCACGCCTTCATTTTGTGAGAAAGTAATACACAGAGCCAGCAAAAAAAAAAACCATATGTCCCTCAATGGACTCCAAGAAAAAGAGGTTAAGGCAAGTACAAGGATCTTATTTTCTTTCTCGTCCACTGAGGGACATTGTGGGTTGAGTGGGGGTTAGGCATTCATCTGCCTTTGTAATAGATGAAGAAGGTTGGTTCCGCCAAACCTTCGCCAATCTTGAAAGGCACACTCTGGCCACCCGTGCCATAGCTAGTCATGGTGTCAAGAGCAAGGGCAAAGAGATGATGTCCCACAAAAACTAATCATGTCAGATGCTCCTTGGATGCAGCATCAGCTTCTCAACTATGCAGCCAGTGCTCGGTCTATGTTCATCAGTCCCATGTGAGAAATCTCAGATGCTTGTAGCATAGCATCACAACTAAAACACAAGGTTTCTGTCATTTGTTCTAGGAAACTTGGACCTACCCCAGCGGTTGAGGGATCATCGTTAACCCCTTCATGACTAAGCTTGTTTTTAGTTTGTTTGTTAATGACCGACACACTTTTTACATTTTTGCTATGTGATTCTTCCACGGCAGGAATATACTTTCTTACTAAATGTACCCACACATTATATATTCTTTTTTGGAGGACAGGTAAGGCTATATATTTATATCACATATGTGCACCTAATGCCTCACTAAGGATGAATAAAATATAAATAGATTTAAAGAAAACAATTTTCCTAGTTTTGATTATTATTTTTTAGAAAAATAACCCAGCTAAAAAAATGCATTAAAATAAATTAATGTATTTGTCCTTCACTTGCAAACACCTCACATACCTAGGATTTCAGAACATTTTCTGTACTTTTCCGCCTAAAACTAACATATTAATTTTTTTTCTCTTAAAGCCAATAGTGCTCACACGGCATACAATGTCTCCGTCATGTGTCACACTTAATGACAGCGACATACTTTGAGCATCACTGTCATGAGGGGGTTAAATAAAAAAAAATTAACTCCTTAGGGTGAAAAACAAATCTGCAGCTCAGCTGCAGATTTTTTTTGTAATGGGTTAATTTTATAATGATAGTATAAAAATATGTTTATATACACATTTTTTTTTTTAACACTTTACACTTTTATTTATTTTTAATTAGATCAAACAGTCATTGTGAATGAATCTCTCTATGACTGCTTGATAATTTAATACATTTTTGGTTATTAGGCTGCTCAAAACTTTAAGAACAGCCAATAATAACCTTAGTGACACTGATCCTCACAGTACGTCAGGATCAGAGGTCACTAAAGGCTTCTGATCATTCCCAGAACGATCAGAAGCCTGCAACACTGTTGCAGGAAAGAAGCAGGTACGGTAGCTTTCTATTCTGAAACATTGTAGAAAAAAGCCGGTATAAAATCAGGAACCCGATCTGTGACAGCAAGTGCGGTAAATACTGCATTGCTGTCACTATCAGACACCCGATTCCTGAAAGGGATCTGGTGTCTGAAAAAGCTTAACTTCCATTTGATTCTCAGCAGTTACCGGCATTCCACAGTCCCAAATAGCTGATCACGTACAGTGTACGTCTCCCGTCACGAAGGGGTTAAGCAAATCTACCAATTCGTACACTGACAAATTAAAATTGCTGCAAACATAGGCCAGAGGGTCACACTGGTCAATTCAAACCGGGATTTAAGGAGAGACTCCACCCGACTGTCAGGGCAATCCTAAAAGGTGATCACACCTTCAACACATTTAGTGGTGTTCCTGTCAACATTGATCACTGGTGCACTGTGGAAATGGGCTACAGTTTAAAACATATTCCCTCAAAGGGTAAAGTTCCGCCACAGTCAGGTGGGGTCCTAAATCCTTGGGGTGTTTCCAGTCTGCATAGAGGAATGACTCAAATTGCGGGTGAAGGGGAATGGTCTTTTGAGCTGTAGCAGCTCTAAAAGACCCAAGGCCTGCAACAGCACTGCATAAATAAAGTTTTAAACAACCCCCTGTTAACCTGAGTCAATGGCAGAGCATGCTGGGTAGAGCAGGGGTTATACGGGGGCTGGCTTACAACTTTTGTTTGCCAGTGTGCCAACCTCCTTAAGGTGGCAGTATAACCCGACATTCTGAATTCATGTGTCCCCTTAATGAACAAGGAAGAAAGCTTATTTTTTTAGGTCAGGGTTTCTTTTTTTTTTCCAATAAAGTTTTATTCAAAAAAACAAAACAGATCAACAATTGTAGGATAAATTTAAATGTTTTGCCTCATAGTGCCGGTATAACAGAACATTACAGACATCAAACATATACTCAAGACAAAAAATAAAACATTTTTACATCATAGCCATACTCTTAAAAGGAGAACTATGGGGTCAGTGTTTTTCCCCATAGTTCTCCTTAGGGTAACAGAAGGACACAAACTAGTGTCCTCCCGTTACCCTAAGCTCAGTATACCGCGAGCTACAGCTCGCGGTATACCGAGACGCCGCAGCCGGAGCGGATCCCGACTTAGATGACGGGATCTGCCCAGCGGCGTGAGTGACAGCTGGCTCTGCCTATCTAGAGGCAGAGCCAGCTGTACCCGCCCCCTCCCCCGTCCGTTCAGCCAGTCAGCGCTGGCAGATCGGAGCGTGGAGAGGGGAATCCAGCCCCTCCCCCTGTCACGGCAGAGAGCCGTGACAGGATCGAGAGGCGAGCAAACCCGGTATGTGTTCGCTCACCACCCGATCTACTGAGCTGACCTATGACAGTCTCATTGTCACAGGTCGGTTAGAACTATGAGGTGAGTGAAAAGCACTCACCTCATAGTTCTCCTTTAAGATAACACCATGAACATCACATTGACAAAAAGATATCAGCCCAAGTATTCTGGACAGGGGTATTTTCAATCAGATATCACTAATAACAACCTCTGCTACTCTGGCAGAAACATGTGTAACTACCTCATTTATAGATAGAATATGGGACAATGTCACATCCTGCACATTTCCCTGAGCCCAGGGAGAGTACTTTCGCCCCAACATGCGTCGGTGATATATTATCTAAGAGGTGCTAGAATGATTGGGGAGCCAGGACTCTCCCATCTTGATCATTAAAGAGATACAAGAGAGGTATGCATAAGAGCAGCCCCCTAAAGGGGGGAAAGAGAAGCGGAGAAGACTAAGGGGAAAGGGAGGGGGGGTGGGTAGGTCAGTGTTTCTAATCACCAATACCATTACCTACTAGGTGTACCTATAATAAATATAATCAAAAACACAAATCATCATAAGGTAATGGGAAATGAGCACTAATGTTCTTCCCCGTCTTTCCAGGGTGATCAAGCTACTTCCAAATCACTTTTCTGTCTTCGCTCTTCATTTGCCGCTGCTTGTTAACAACTCTCATACTATTAGATTCAGCTTTTATTCAATTTCAAGTAATTATTGTCGGACTTCTGCCTTATTCCTGGCCATTAGTGGCTGAGATTAGGCTTCATGGCAGGGACAGCCAAACTGCAGCCCTCCAGCTGTGGTGGTACTACAAATCCCATGAGGCATTGCAAGATTCTCACAGCCACGATTCCCGGAGAGATGCATTACGGGATTTGTAGTTTCGACACAGCTGGAGGGCCAGAGTTTGGGTACCCCTACTTTATGGTCTGTCAGCACTGCATAATTAGATTTGATTAGCCCTTTGCTTTGATTACATTAAGTTAATCAGTCATACAAATATTGTGAGGTAGGTTTATAATGTTTAAACATTTTTATTATAGTCAATTAATCATTATTTTATCTAATGGTTGTCATAACTATCTTTTTTCATTATAAACTATGTGTATTCATTGGCCTTTACTATTGAGATTATGAAATGGTATTCTGTGATAAGTTTCAAGAATTGTTTGAGGGCTGATTTACACTTTAGCAATCAGTTGCAGTACATTACCATGCATTATTTGTGTGTTATAGCAGCCCATTCATTATGCATGTGCTGCCAACACACAACAATTGATCAAAAAACGTAAATTACCCTTGCCACCATGCATAAGTGTTGAGGGACACTTAATGTTTGCAGGGGTGAGGGTTTAGAAATTTGCATAGTTTGATATACTGTACTGAAACTTTGCAGGGTGTCCTTTTAGAAGGCTTTTCCTTTTCTTCTGGCTACCTCCAGCCATGTTATTGCGTTTGCTGGCACATATTAGATTATTTTGATTCATGCAGATAACGACTCATTAGTTTAGCCAAATTGCCATACTACCTAAACTTACAATAGTATACCTATTTCACCCCTTACCTGGCCATCTCAAAAGCCTGTGACAGACAGCTGTCCAAATTAAGATAATGGCGGATCATTCGACGAGCACCATGCCGCTGCCAATCCAGGACATTATAGTTTATGTCATCTGTCACACGCACTGGCACGAGCGGGAACTCTTCCAAAACAGGCATTCCACTTGTCAGCCTCTTTAAAGGCCAGTTAGACTGTACTGCAATCAAGGTTGGGCCACGTCTCTCATCCTAATAAACATATAA